TACCCCGCACACGCCGCGGCGGCTGGGGGGGGAATTCGGGATTTGAAAGCCCTCCATCTTAAAGGAGCCAAGGTTGAGATACACTACACTAACTACAGTAACCACAAGTGCTAGGTTCACACAACAGGCTAAGTTAATTTGTCAACTCAGCCCACCTCCCTTTTGAGCGGGTTGAGATGTGGGCCTCCAGAGGTTGAGACGACAGTTTCCAGCATCCCCAGCACGCATGGCCAGAAGTGAGCCATGCTGGGAGTTGTAGCAGTGGCAGAAAAGGGGAAATGCCTTACGGAAAAGGAAGAAATGATGTAATTGCGGCATTTCTCCCTTGCTTTTTAGCCCAAAGGACTTCTCAGAAGATCTGGGGCTAAAAAGCATAAAAGGATGTAAGAAAAAGAGACGGGGAGGGAGGAGGAAAAAAATCCTGTTCAGCTCTGGCTTTCAAATGACAGTCCTTGGTGTGCCCTCTTGGGAAGGGAGGGGGCCAGAAGGGGCAAAAGGAAGCTGGATTCCCAGCAGATCCTCCCCCACACCCCTCCTCCTCCTCCACTCCTCTCCCCTTGCTGATGAAATTGAAACCGAATACATCCGAAGGGAAAACAGCTTTCCCAGGGAAAGGATACGGCCTTTAATTCTAACAGAGTTATTAAAAGAGTGTTGTTACAACCAAGCCATGCCTTAGAGGGGTGGACAAGCCAGCTGGTGCCCCTGACCATGTGCAAAGTACCTTTGGGGTCCCCTGGAGGAAAACCGTTTCCGCTCGGATTTTATTTTAATTTTTTGCAGGGGATGGTGTTTCCTTTGAGACTCCCCACCCCCCTCTGCTGCCACACTGGGCTCCGGAGAATTTCCCCGCCATCGCTGCTTCCTTCGCCTGGAAGGGGGGCCACCGTGGCGGCCCAGGAGAGGAGCTGCTCCACAGCCATGGAACTAGCACAAGTCCTCCCTTTGCCTGGAGGGGCGCAGCGTTCCCAGCCGGGGAAAGCGGATCCGGATGGAAGCCTTTGCACTTGTCGCCTTGGATCCTGGCCCCGCTCCAGCTGTGGGCTCCAGCTGCTGCACGACGTCAGCGTCCCAGGCCTGGCAAGGGTGTGCAGTGACGTCAGCTGCTGTCTCCGGCATGGGGACCTGGCAAGAGAACGGGCAGGAAAGGGGGGACTTTTCTTCTCCTCCCCTCACCAACAAAGGGAGGGGGAACGGGGACATGCCTGTCTTCCAGCAAGAGCAGGGAGGAGGGCTAAACTCGAGCTGACGGAGGGGGGGGGGGTTACTGCAATATACCTGCACTTTCAGAGTTGCCCCACAGCCCCGGCTTGAAAGGTGACCCTTTATCCACAGATCAGTTTCCAGCAGGCCCAGCCTTCTCTGCTCAGGGGCGAAGAAACACCAGCATTTCCCATTCTCTAAATGACGTCGCCTTTGCCCAACCACACACTTAACACGGATTAACCCCTTTTCTGGCTTTGGATAAGACTCGGACTCTTAAATAACCCTGATGCGTTCGCACCATACACCAAGCTGCAAGGAGAGCAAACAGACCCAGATGAAAGCTAACCAGGCCAGACGTTGCGTGGGCGCAGCTGCTGTTTTAGAACTGACTTGGTTAAGGCTGTTGATGGTGTCCAGCCGGTGTCGGTCAGGGGGACAGGCGTGCAAATCCGCCCTTCCTGCTGACGGAGAGCTAAGAATTGTCAGCCTGAACTTGGGAGATGAAATTCTGGTTTGTAGGCGCTAAAAATCGGATGGGCACGCGAATGTAAAGTTGATCTTTGGCAAGATTGTGAAGCAGGGTTTCTCAACCCTGGTGACTTGAAGACGCGTGGACTTCAACTCCCAGCCAGCCATGAGAGAAACCCTGGTGTGAAGACTCCAGTTTTGCGAAGGGCACTTGAGCAATCTTTGAAACTCAGCTGTGAGATTTCTCGAAAACTTCCTGAGGGTTGCACTTGTGCAATGCTTGTGATAAATTTAGCCTGGTGTTTCCTGGATTGTTTTGGTTATGGGGCGAGTCTTTGCAGCTGGATTTCTGCTTTGGGAAGACTCGGGGCCCCAGCGGAAAGAGAAGGGTGGCTTCAGGCTGCTTCTGCGTTGGGCAGGAGGAAGCATGGCGGGGGGCTCCCTCTCAAATGAAGGTTTATTTACTACGGGACAATCCAAAGAACAGCGGCCGCTGGATGGCTCCTTGCCCCGAGCTTTTCATTTGGTGTGCAAATGGGGTGACCTCCGCGTTGTGAAGCTGCTCTTATGAAAGCCCAAGAAACTGGGCTGGGTTTGTTGGTGGGGGAGCTGGCAACCCTGGCTGTGACCTATCTCCTGCACTCTGTCTGGGTTGCACCCCTGGCCAGGAGGCCAACTCTGTGGCTGGCACTCCGTTTGGGCGAGACCCTGGCCAGATCAGTCGCCCGGCCTGGGGGACCCCCTCTGCCCTGCAGGAAGGGGGAGCCATGCTGGCCCACGGTAGCCCAAGATCAGGAGGCATCGGGCAGCCCCTTTCCCAAATAACCATGGTGGAGTATGTCTCCCCACTTCTGCAGGGACCCTGGCCCAGAGCCGATGGCCAGAATTCCTTTCCTGCGTAAAATCAGGAGGAGCCTGGGAGCATTTCTTCCCTCTAGCAAATGTTATCTCACAAAAGCCAATGCCTTCTCATACACGCCCCACTCCATCTCTTTCTGTCAGAATAAAAAGGAGACTTAGAAACTCCTCCCAAGTGTTAGGGTTTTATTTTTCCTTTGAGAGCATCAACAAGAACTTCCTGGCGCAGCACCAGCGCCAGGTAGAGCTTCCTGCAAAGGCTGCCTCTCGCCCTGTGGTTTTCCTGTCCTGCGCCTGCAAGCAGTTTCTGCCCTTTGGCCCGGAGACCGACAAACTAAAACTGGCTAATCTTTGCTTTTGGCTTCCACAACGTCCTGACAAAGATCAATGGAAACCTTTTCTGTGCAGATTGTCACAACTCATCGTCACACCACCGACACTCCCGATGAGCCTAGCAGGAAGTGGAACAAACTGTTCTGACCTGGGAGGATTAAGAAAGAAAGAAAGAACAGAACAGAACAGAAAAAAGTGCGCGCCCAAGGGCTGACAAACGCCTCGGCAAGGAGGCCCTCCCTTCCTCCACAGAGCACATCGATGCTGCCCCCACCCGGCGCCAAGGCTGGCCTGACCTTCCCTACCAGCGTTCAACCTGGGCCTGCTCACGCTCTGCACAAGCCCTGGCAGATTAAATAAGTCACAACTGGCTGGGGTCACATACTGTGCGGAGACTTAAAGGGCGATTGATGAACCTTTGTTTTTTCACAATGCCCTGAGCCAAAGTGGGATTGATTTGATTCCAGCGGCCTGGTGAATCCAGCTATTACCTATTAAAAGTTTGCAAATGCAGACCTTGACTGGCTCAATGAGCTTGTGGATACAGAGTTGATCTCTGTGGCTCATAAGAATCAACTTGCTCTGGGAAAAAATACAGGTCGTCCTTATTTAGCGACTGCTTCATTTAGCGACTGTTCGCCATTACAATGTAATGAAACAGTAACTTGGCGACCCTCTTTGCATTTGCTACCTTTGCAGGTCTGTAAAGCAAAGGAAAACTGAAGGAAGATTGTAAGCGCAGTGGCGGCTTCACTTAGAGACCGCTTCGCTTAATGACCGAGTTGCTGGTCCCAATTGTGATTGCTCAATGAGGATGACCTGTAGTCTGAATTGTCTGTGCCTGCTGTCTGAATAAATGACAGCACTCCTGGATGACCTGTTCTGGGCCACCAGCTAAGCAGAGTTGGACGTGGCTTAATACTTGGAAGGGAGACAATCAGGAAGTCCGAGAGTGGAAAACTGAAACATCCTGAAAGAAGGCAAGGCCAAGCCTTTCCATACTTTGGCGGGGGAAACATGCAGAGATGTCCCTGATGTCACCAGAAGTCAAGCTTGACTGGAAAAACACTTTCCTGCGGCTTGTGGGTGGTTTTTATGGCGGTTGCTCACAGAGTGCAGCAAAACATGTTGGTCAAGGGTATCACCGAGACGCCCCAACGGCTGCAGGATCAGGGCCTGGCTCCCTGTCTCAGCAAATGCCAGCCCTTAGGGCAGCGTTTCTCAGCCTTGGCCCCTTGAAGATGTGTGGGCTTCCACTCCCAGAATTCCCCAGCCAGCATGCGAGCATTCTCTTTCTGATGAGCAAGCCATGC